GACGAAAGTGACGATGAAGTTAAAGCACTGATTAACCAAATGCACTCGTCTCACAAATGTTGGATTGAGGACAAAAACTCAACAGTGAAGCACATGGCCTACAAAAAGTGTAAAGGTGAGGTACAACGAGCTCTCCGAGCTATGAAAGAACGATGGTGGTACAATAAGGCAATTGCACTGCAGGAAGCTGCTGACAGCAAGAACACGAAAGCCTTCTATGATGGTCTGAAAGAGGTATTTATTTGGTCCTCAGAAAGGTGGTGCTTCCCCATTGAGCACAGCTGATGGAGAGGCATTGCTAACTGATAAATCAGATATTCTCAATCGTTGGAAGGAGCACTTTGAAACCGTCTTAAACACCTCATCTGTCATTGACGACGATGTCATGTCCTCTATTCCTCAGAATCCAGATATTCCAGAATTGTCATTGGAACCTGCTTATCAGGAGGTATGGGAATCCATCAAACAAATTGCTTCTGGCAAGTCCCCATCACCAAAGGATCCAATTCCACCTGAAGTGTACAAGCATGGTGGGCATGCGCTGGTAAAAAAAGCTCCATGCTCTCTTTGTAAAGATATGGAAAGCAGGCCGAGTTCCACAGGACTACAAAGATGCCTGCATCAAACATCTTTACAAAAATAAGGGAGTCAGGAATGTTTGTGACAACCATCGGGGATATCTCTGCTTTCAATTGCAGGAAAGATTCTGGCTAGGCTCATTCTAAACCGAATCATGAAGCGTCTCGTTGATAAGGTGTATCCAGAGTCCCAGTGTGGGTTTCGGTCGGGTCGCGGCACCATTGATATGATATTTTCCTTACGTCAGGTGGCAGAAAAGGTCCGTGAGAAAAATCAGGAATTGTATATGGTGTTTGTTGACCTGACGAAAGCCTTCGACACTGTGAATCGTGATGCTCTTTGGCAAGTTTTAAGAAGGCTTGGTATTCCAGAAAACATGCTGAACGTGATCATTTCATTTCACGAGGGGATGAAGGCCAACGTTGTCTCAGATGGTATGATGTCTGATCCATTTGATGTTACGAATGGGACAAAACAAGGATGTGTAATGGCGCCAGTCCTCTTTGCGCTCTTCTTTTCACTGATGCTGAAACATGCATTTAGTGATTTGGACACTGGTGTCAAGTTTCAATTTCGGTCATCCGGTGGCTTATTTAACCATCAACGGTTTAAGGCCAAGACTCTTCTTCGCACCGAAATTATTCGCGACTTGCTCTTCGCTGACGATGCCGCACTGGTAGCCACATCCTTTGAAGAAGCCCAGGTTCTTCTTGATCGTTTTTCAGCCGCGTGCAGGGCCTTTGGCCTGACAATTAGCATAAGGAAGACTGAGGTAGTGCATCAGCCACACCCTACTCCAAAACAAGTTGAAGGCGTAAAGCAAAATCCACCAGAGTATAGATTTCCTGCGCGCAAGCTGAAAGTCGACGGTCATGATATCAATTATGTCAAGTCCTTTCCTTACCTTGGTAGCAAAAGTGAACCAAAGCGGTTCTCTTGACGATGAAATTGTCAACAGGATTGCTAAAGCCACTTCTGCCTTTGGAAATCTTCGCCATCGCTTGTGGAACGAAAGGGGTATTCGACTAGACACAAAAAATCCTTGTCTACCGTGCTGTTGTTCTTTCCGTTCTTCTTTATGGATCTGAGTCATGGACCCCATACAGACATCACATTAATCAGCTGGACGTTTTCCACAAAAGATGTCTACGCGCCATATGTGGTCTTAGCCTCCGCGACAAGGTATCAAATGCCGAATTATTCACAAGATGCAAAATATCTGGCATTGAATCATTCCTTATTCAATCGCAATTGCGGTGGGCTGGTCATGTCTTGAGGATGCCCGATGACAGAATTCAAAAAAAAAAAAAATTGCGATGTACAGTCAGCTTGAAGGTGGTAAAAGAAATGTCGGACGTCCTTGGCTTAGGTACAAGGACAAGTTGAAGAGTAACTTGTCTGCGGTGAACATACCATACAGGAGTCTTGAAGATGAAGTGAGTGACCGCATAGGATGGAGATCAATGTGTTTTGAAGGTCTCCAGAAGTTACAGTCTGAAAGCTTAAGCCAACTGAAAGAAAACAGAGAAAGAGCAAAACGACTGGCAGCCGCACCGATGTCTGCAGCGTTAAATCCACATTCATGTTCTATTTGTGGCCTTGTTTTCAAATCCCTTGCTGGACTAAAAAAAAGTCATCAGAGGCAAAAGCATAAATGAATTTTATAAATATGGGTTGTCCGAACCTCATACGTCGAAATCGACGGGAGAGTCCATCATATATATATATATATGTAGAGTGGATAAATGAAACGGCCAAAATATAGGCCGGCGTGTGCTGTTGTGCATACGCAGGCAAGCAAATAAATATTCGTTAAATTTATGCATGAGATGTAAACGTAATAGTGTTTAATGCGGTTATACAGAGCAAAGATATGTATTAATTAATACATATAAGCGTATACGCGTACCTACGTTTTTGGCAATCCAACGTTTTTAATTTGAAATTTGAAACTAGTAATTAGCTTAGCTTAGCTTAGCTTAGGGGTAGAATCTCCGACTGATGCCAAATCCATTGGGGTTCGATGCCGATTTGAAACAATCGGATCTCAAGGCAAACTTGTGAACTGCGAAAGAGGCTTTTATTTGGATGGCCACACACACACACATATATATATATATGTATGTATGAATTAAGACATACGGAAAACATTTCTTCATTGACGTGAAGAGACAACTGATAGACTTCACCAAGACACATGAGAAAATTATTTATCTTGATAAAATCAGAGGACAAAACTCGTTGGTAAAGATGTTTTTCTGTCATTTTTCCCATTGCTTTTTTTACAGACATATATATATATATATATATATATATATATATATATATATATATATATATATATATATATATATATGAAGAAAATATCTGGAAAAACAATACAAAAATCCTTAAAATGCGATTATGTTGTTTTAATATGAATGAAATGTCGTCGTCTGACGTTTCGGTTTAATAACCTTCTTCAGGACAATATTCATTAAAAAATACAATTAACATAATCAGTATAACACGACGAAAACGATGGACATAAAAACAAGTCTTATCCAAAACAGATAAATGAAAATTTTAAATGATCAGCTTTCCGTTTGAACGTGGTCACATTGTCGTCAAATGGGCGACGCTTTCACAACGTATTCTTAAAAATTTTATAAATTTGATTCCGATGGAAAGAGTTTTCATATATAATTAGTTAGAAAATCTTTTCTGTTCTTGTAGGAATACGCGGAGACTAGTAGATTCCTGTATCTTCGGATAAGCATGCAGTCCTCCATGTAATAAAATGAATTCAGGTTTGTATTTCCAGTTTTGGACATTTATGATAATTCAAATATAAATGGATATAATATTTGTTAATAGTATTTTTAATGAATATTGTCCTGAAGAAGGTTATTAAACCGAAACGTCAGACGTCGACATTTCATTCATATTAAAACAACATAATCGCATTTTATGGATTTTTTGTATTGTTTTTTCCAGATATTTTCTTCATTCTGTCGGATTTATATCCATTTATATTTGCTTATCATATATATATATATATATATATATATATATATATATATATTGACATTTACATCTACAAATATTTATATATATATATATATATATATATATATATATATATATATATATATATATATGTGTGTGTGTGTACGTCATCGAGCATGTATGTTTGGCTCGCTACAACCTGACACTACAATCGCGCACGAGCGTATCGTCTTGTATGTGTGTAACTATATCGTGGTTTGCCAATATACAATTTGCCTGACTTTCTTTTCTTTTCTTGTTTTCAATAGTTTCCGTGTGTATCCATATGTCCTCCTTTTAAAAAAAAATATTCTAAGTCATTTCCTTTTTGGATTTAATGATTTTTTTAAATTCGGATTCTTTCTCTGATAGATTATTTTACATAAACGTTAACCATAATATATGAAAGCCATTCGAAAGTTCTGTTAACCTCCTAGCAACGGTCATTAATTTTAATTTTGCTATCATCAATTTCTTTTCTATAAAGAAGAACTAAAATACGTTAAGAAATTGTTTATCTCCTAAAGAAATTACCGTAAAATAGATTTTAAACATAAAAGAAAATGCCTTAAACGAATACAATTCAATTATATAAACTTCAAATCAGAAGAAGAAAAAACTAAAATGATTGAATTCATGGAATATTACGTTTGGTTTGTTTCTAAGTTTTATGAACTTAAATATTCTATATATATATATATATATATATATATATATATATATATATATATATATATATATATATATTTTAATTTTTGATAATACTTATCCAAAGGTATTTTGTCTGCTTTCTCCATTGGTTAATTCATAGAAATGTCTATTACTTTCGCAAAACAGATGACTTTTTTCGAAAAACCGATCGATAAAATGACTCGCTTTTATACATTTTAGATTAAATATCGTCATTATTCATTTATATGTGCGCTAAACAATAGTTCTAGAATGTAGACATTCATTCAAATTTTCATGTTCGTGGGCTGTAAATATGCATACATTTATAAATAAAAACAGTTTTCTCAAAGAATAGTTTGAATTTCTTGCAAGAAATATGAGATATATTTCATCCGACGCCAATCGTTCAGATATAAAGCAAAGATCATACCTAATTTCATATTTCGTCCAATTCCTGTCCTTTTTTTAATTTCGATTATATATAATATTCTGTGGTACGCGGATTATTCGTCACGTATTTTTAAGGTAAAATAAAACCACTTGCATACGGTAGAAAAGGGAGATTAATTACAAATGTTTTATTCATTTCGTTATAGCGCATCTTGGAGTTTAAGTAATCTCTCTTTGGTAATTCTTATAGGAATAAATTAAGTTGCAAAATTTAGAAGTACTCATCAGACTAGTGAAGTCTAAATGACTAAAAATTCAATTGAAACAATGAGTTAACTGATTGAACTGTGCTTCCAATAATTAATATTAATCATCCTGAGAATTCGCACAGCGTAGAAAATGACTTTTACTTTAGTGCAAGATATAGACAAGAGAGAAAGAGGGTTAGTGTCTGATAGAGAGAGAAAGAAGAAGAGAGGGAATAAGAAGCGAATGAGTGCATGAGATTGTGAGCGAATAAGTCTGAGAGAATGGGAGAGGCGCGAAAGATAGAATAATTGAGGAAGTAAGAGTAAAGCAGGCGACAAGAGTTGAAATAATGTGTATAAGGGATAGAAAAAAATGGATACGAGAGTGTGAATGAGTGAATCAAAAAAAGGAATGAGATGTGAGTATCTCTCATTTACTTCCTCTCGCACGTCAAGTAATGTGGAATGGGAGATACAATGAGAAAGTGTAAGATAGGTAGTGTGATAGACTAGCGCGAGTCCTAGTAAGTGAGTAAATAAGACATATGAGAGTGAGTGAGACTGAATAAATGTAGCCATTAAAAAAGTAAGAATGCTAGTTTGTGAGAGAACGTAAGAGAGACTATATGAAAAACTAAAAAAAAATATAAAAAAATCTGTTATATGTAAAGAAGGCTTACAAGGATTTTCAGTTTCTATTACAAATGAATCACTTGTATTTATTCTCAGATGAAATTCAAATATTTTAGTTTTTCAAAACATTTCTTTACAATAAATATAGAAATTAAATGCCGTTTGGTTGCATCTAGTGAAAGTTCATCTTCGGGAATCGTTCTCCATATACAGTATACATAAAAATAAATATTTATGATTGTTTTTTTTTATGCTTATTTGCGTTCGTTCTATAAAAAAAAATGAAGTGTCGATAATTACTATTTGTCTATCTGTAAATATCCTCACTTTCCATGCTATATATCTACATTAAATATATATATATATATATATATATATATATATATATATATATATATATATATATATATGTGTGTGTGTGTGTGTGTGCGTATATGGTTAAATTATGCTATAAAATATATATGTGCTATTTTAAATTATATATATATATATATATATATATATATATATATATATATATATATATATATGTATTAATATTTTGTCATCCAAAGACAGACTGTTTCGGTGTATCACAGCTCATCATTGTGGCTAGACATTCGATTGCCTCAAGCCGGTATGGAAACAGGACTGAATTCGCATCATTCGGAGATTTTACCATCAGCGCCATTTTACTATCAGCACTCGGTAGAAAGAAATACGGATTTTTACGTAGTTATTTTTACGTATTCTTCGAATAAACACGACAATAGAAGAAATATATATATATATATATATATATATATATAAATATATATATATATATATATATATATATATATATGACAAGAACAAATACTTACAAAAAGCGCCATAATCCTAATGACGAGAGTAGATGCTTATTGTATTTATTAAATTTGTCTAATTAATAATTTTAAAAAATCTTAACATTCTAGAAATTGCTTTGTTTACGCCAAGATATGTTATCCTTTGGGGCGCATATTTTCTTTAATAAGATTTTCTCGAATATTCAGCCCGGTAGACGATAATGAATATACTGTTTAATAAATAAACGGAGTTTCTAATAAAATATGAGAATCAATTAAATAAATTATATATATTATCATCCATAGACAGACTGTTTCGCTGTATCATAGATCTTCAATATTGCTAGATGTCAAGTTGCCTCTACCTAGGATCGAAACACAGATCAGGTAATTTTATATATATATATATATATATATTTATTAATATATATATATATATATATATATATATATATATATATATATATATATATATATATATATATATATATATATCAATCGAATTTTGTTTTAGTTTTACCAATCTCTCTTGTCAAGCTTGTATTTTCTTAAAATTTAATCACGTTTCAATAAAGTATAATGTTCAACGCTTTATTTATCGATCCATCTGTGTTTTCTTTATGTTTCTTCAGCTCTCATGCTTTCTCAAGTAAAAGATTAATACATTTAAGTGTATGTATTTACTTACCAACCTGTTTATGTGTATTTATGCAGTAAAATGATAAAATAATCTTTGGGATGGTAATAATTATCTATTTGAAATAGATAAAGCTTGTTTTACATTGTTTTCTTTAAAAACCCAATATTTCATTTATTACGCTTTCGTTCATAAATAAAATAGTAATATAAAAATAATACTGATGAGATTAAAAACAATCACAAATAAACATTACCGTTATTCAAATTCATTTTACTGATCCGTGGCACATGCCGATTCATTACAGGGAAAAACAAGAAGCAAACAAAATTGGCTTTTATGCTTGTTCTTCATTTATATTTGCCAAATGTTGAGTACACTGATTTTTATTTAAATAAAACGAAACCAATATAAAATATTGTAAAAGGAATAAAAAAAACATGGCGGCCGATGTTGGTAGAAAAGGGAGATTGACATCGAGAATGCTGTTAGCCATAGTGGTCATTATCAGATCACAGTAAAGTACATTAATTTCTCTTATTGGTAATTGTCGGTTTGCGCTCTTACAAACAGTCAAACTATTAATTGTATATAAAATTAAAAAATAAAAATGCTCTTTTTCTTAAATAAATTATATTGCCTATTGAAGGAAGACATTCATCAGCGGAAAATAACCTGTCCAATTACGACGGGATATATTTTTTTTGTTTTCAGATTCAGTGATTGATTTCCAGTTCACATTCGAGGAACGTAAAATTACATACAGAACAAAAGAATACGATTTTATTCATAGACTCTCATAAAAATAAAGAATAAAGGCAAACGTAACAAAGCAAAGCAGCCAAAAGGTAAAGTAGATAAGTAAGGAATTTGATGAGGCAAATCAATTGCATAGTCTTTATTGATTCCACAAATGTCAATAAGTGAAAAATAAGTTTTCCATTTAAGCCTGAGACGTGCCACATCATTTGATATTTCAATGGAAATTGGCAGATATCATCAATTGATGATTTAAAACTTTTCCAAAAATACAAGCATCATTTATTCATGATTCGAGTCTAAATTAATTGAAAACTCTTATATATATATATATATATATATATATATATATATATATATATATATATATATATATATATGTGAGAAATCTATATAGAAATAAGGAAATTTTTCATTTTATTTCAGCGTCACCTATTTTCAACCACATGAGTAGCCGCTTTACACTGATGGAGTCTTGTAGGATGAAATGTGTCTCACGATTTGTTTTTTTATTTTTATATATATATATATATATATATATATATATATATATATATATATATATATATATACCATGCATATAATATATAAATAATTATACATATATATATTTATTTATATTTATATACTTTTACACATATATATATATATATATATATATATATATATATATATATATATATATATATATATATATATGAGAAATCTATATAGAAATAAGGAATTTTTTTATTTTCATATATATATATATATATATATATATATATATATATATATAATAAACAACAATGTAGGAAACGAAACTCAATCTAACTTGTTTCAACTTTATTTAGCCTTCGTCAAAGATCGACAATAGAAATGAAAAAGCGAAGAGCTGCAGTACTGGATTTTTAGGATTTTTGTAGTTCTTATTGCTCAGACCTGCATCACGTGTATAAACGCGATAGATGATATATAAATATATGTGATGTATATTTTGGATCTTAAAGTGTGTGATAGTGTAAGACTGTGTAAGTAAAGAAACTTTTGTGTGCAGGTGTATGTTGGACGGTAACAATGATTCTTGTAAGTGTATAAGAGTGTGAAGTTGAGCTACAAATGTCACCCTCTTATTTTCGCGCTGAAATGTTGCGATATGTTTGCAAAATATCATTTTATTTTGCATTTCGCTGTATTTTTATACTCTCGTGTATGTGTATTCATGTGTGTGGAAAGTCTGTGGTCGTCAACTGTGTGGGTTAGTAAAGCGAATTAAAAAAATAATAATAATCTAGTTTTTGTTAGATTTAACATGCGTAATTTTGATATAGGGAAATTGGTAAACCCTCATTATTTTAAGCATAAGTTAGATTCATGAATAATGGATCTGTATTAAAATAATGATATGATACAATGTTTTAAACGAATGTATATAGTTGGTAGTAATACTTTGAAAATATATTCAAAATATTTTCTTCTTAAAGGGTTATGTACTTTTTTTTTCATTAGGCTGACATTAGTGAAATCAAAGTTATGTCCCACATCGTTTGGATGTCAGTCAAGAGATTTAGAATGTTTGTCTAAACGCAAATCTCTCGTATGTTCATAAGATCGAGTATATATATATATATATATATATATATATATATATATATATATATATATATATGTGTGTGTGTGTGTGTGTGTGTGTGTGTGTGAAAAGTGTATATAAATATAAATAAATATATATTTGTATAATTATTTATATATTATATGCGCGGTATATATATATATATATATATATATATATATATATATATATATATATATATATGAAAATAAAGAAACAAATCGTGTGACACATTTCATCCTACAAGACTCCATCAGTGTAAAGCGGCTACTCATGTGGTTGAAGATAGGTGACGCTGAAATAAATGAAAAATTCCTTATTTCTATATAGATTTCTCATATATATATATATATATATTTGTATATGTATATATATATATATATATATATATATATATATATATATATATATATATATATACGAGCTTACGTAATTTCCTGCACTATTTGTGTACAAAAAAACTAGCTGATGAAGCAAACCTCTCGAAGAGAACGATGTTGAACCATTGTAAGTGATTGAAGCAAAGAATGCACAATTCATTTGGAATGGCATGCTTAAAGGATGGCCTATGAAAAATTTTTTTAGGTTGCAAGTCATATATGAACTAATTTGAAACAATTTCATTGCGCTGAATTCGAATATTATAGCTATTCACTTCAGTTAGCTCTACTTTTCACGATTCAGCTAATGGGATAATTGATTATTTTGCAGCATTTGACTAACCAATTTGACAGGCGAAAAATGATCAGCTATGCAAAAGCAAATCAAATAAATTGTCAACTACAAGTTAAGAACAAACGTACCTCAAAACAGAACTATGCTATATTAAATATGAAGTGAAAAATGAAAAAACGAAAAATAATTATGAGAAATTTCTCTTTTATTTTTCATTTTCGCGAAAGATCCAGTTTTATCTCTCTTCAGGCTCCATGAATAATCTGCCATTATTCTTTTCTCTCATCTCCATTGATATCCGTCCTCCACGAATTTGATACACTGATGAAAATCATTATCCTTTTGATCATCTACATTGCCACAGTTTTCTGGAAATGGTTCTAAATGACTATGCAGAAAATGTAGTTGTATAATCATGTCAGCATAAATCTAGCCTCCTGATGACTAGTGATCTATAGTGGTCTGTCTTGCGATTAACAAGAATTTTCTTTTACTACAGCAAAAAGTGAAATCCAGCCATTTGATTCAGTAAC